GTTTCTTCAAGGGAATATAGCCCAGGGGCAGGACTTTCAAAAACGAATACTTAAGGTTAAATATAGGTTTAGAAGCCTAATTCTAGGCACCAATTTTTTAAAATCTTGGCTGGCTCAGGTGAGCTGTGGAGAAAGATTTCAGTACTACCTGTAGTTCTCCTAGTTTCTCAGATGTTGGTGAAATAATGGTGAAAAATCCACTGATTGGGTGGCTTGGAGATAGTTGTGATAGTCCATTGATTTGAGCTCGACCAATTGGAAGATGGTCAGGTTTGGTCATTACCTCCAGTACAAGAACACCCATATCTACAGGAGACAGGAACAGCTAACTTAGATCTGGTATAAGACAACATATTAAAAAACAATTGGGGAACAATAATATTGCAGTTAAAATTAGGGCTGTCAATTAATCGCATTTACCTCACGAGATTAACTAAAAAAAAATTAATCGTGATTAAAAAAAATTAATCGCAGTTTCAATTGCACTGCTAAACAGAATACCAAGTGAAATTTATTAAATATTTTTGGCTGTTTTTCTATATTTTCAAATATATTGATTTAAATTACAACACAGAATACAAAGTGTACAGTGCTCACTTTATATTATTAATTTGATAACAAATATTTCCACTGAAAAAATGATAAACAAAAATAGTATTTTACAAGTAGCGTAGTAGTGCAATCTCTTTACCCTGAAAGTGCAACTTACAAATGTAGATTTTTTGTTACATAACTGCACTCAAAACCAAAACAATATTAAACTTTAGAGCCTACAAGTTCACGGAGTCCTACTTCTTGTTCAGACAATTGCTCAGACAAACAAGTTTGTTTACATTTATGGGAGATAATGCTGCTTGATTCTTATTTACAATGTCACCTGAAAGTGAGAACAGGCATTCCCATGGCACTTTTGTACCTGGCATTGCAAGGTATTTATGTACCAGATATGCTAAACATTCGTATGCCCCTTCATGCTTGGCCACCATTCCAGAGGACATGCTTCCATGCTGATGACACTTGTTAAAAAATAATGAGTAATTAAATTTGTGACTGAATTCCTTGGGGGATAATTGTACGTCTCCTGCTCTGTCTTACCCACATTCTGCCATATATTTCATGTCGTAGCAGTCTCGGATGATGACCCAGCAAATGTTGTTTGTTTTAAGAACACTTTCACTGCAGATTTGACAAAACGCAAAGAAGGTACCACTGTGAGATTCCTAAACATAGCTACAGCACTCGACCCAAGGTTTAAGAATCTGAAGTGCCTTCCAAAATCAGAGAGGACAAGAGGTGGAGCATGCTTTCAGAAGTCTGAAAAGAGCAACACTCTGATGCAGAAACTATAGAAGCTGAACCACCAAAAAAGAAAATCAACCTTCTGCTGGTGGCATTTGTCTCAGATGATGAAAATGAACATGCATCGGTTCGCACTGCTTTGGATCATTATCGAGCAGAACCGTCATCAGCATGCATGCACGTCCAGTGGAATCACGAAAGGACATATGAATCGTTAGTGCATCTAGCACGCAAATATCTTGCAACGCCAGCTACAACAGTGTCATGTGAATGCCTGCTCTCACTTTCCGCTGACGTAAACAAAAAGCGGGCAGCATTATCTCCTGCAAATGTAAACAAACTTGTTTGTCTGAGTGATTGGCTGAACAAGTAGGACTGAGTGGACTTGTAGGCTCTAAAGTTTTACATGGTTTTACTTTTGAATGCAGGGGTTTTTTTATACATAATTCTACATTTTAAGTTCGACTTTCATGATAAAGAGATTGCACTACAGTACTTGTATGAGGTGAATTGAAAAATATTATTTCTTTTGTTTTTTACAGTGAAAATATTTGTAATAAAAATAAATATAAAGTGATCACTGTACAACTGTATTCTGCGTTGTAATTGAAATATATGTGAAAATATAGAAATGTAGAAAACATCTAAATATATTTAAATAAATGGTATTCTATTATTTTTTAACTGCACGATTAATCACACAATTAATTGCAATTCATTTATTTAATCGCACAATTAATTGCGATTGTTCTAATCGCTTGATAGCCCTAGTTAAAATATCATTAAAACTGCAAAATTAAAAACCAGGACAAATGAAATGCAAAAAAACAAAAAAGCATAATTAAAATAGGGAGAGGGAGACTATATGCGAGGCAATGGGGTCTAGTGGATGGAGCACTTAAATAAATAAATAAAAATACATGGAGATTTACCTATCTCATAGAACTGGAAAGGACCTTGAAAGGTCATTGAGTCCAGTCCCCTAACTTCACTAGGAGGGAGGGATAGCTCAGTGGTTTGAGCATTGGCCTGCTAAACCCAGGGTTGTGAGCTCAATCTTTGAGGGGGCGATTTAGGGATCTGGGGAAAAAATCTGCCTGGGGATTGGTCCTGCTGTGAGTTGGGGGTTGGACTAGATGACCTCCTAAGGTCCCTTCCAACCCTGATATTCTATCTAGGACCAAGTACTGTCCCTGGCAGCCCCCCCCCCCCCCCCCCCATCACTAAATGGCCCCCTCAAGGATTGAACTCACAACCCTGGGTTTAGCAGGCCAATCTCCAGGGATTCAGGGGACATGGGTTCAATCCTTGGCTCTGGTTTGATGGGTGACAACAGGCCACTCACTTCCCCCGGTATGCCTGTTTCCCCATCTGTAAAATAGAGAGGATACTTGGCCTCCTTTGTAAAGCACTGAGCTCTAGGGATGAAAAGTACTAGATAAGAGTATTATTACTAGGACATGTAACAGGTAGAGAAATGTTATACTGCTAAGAAATTACTATAAATACAGTCTTCACACTTACAAGTAATATCACACATAAGCACTTAAACTACTTAAGACCCCAATCCTGCAGTAAGGTTCATACAAGTGTAAGGTGATACAGAGCTTGCTGGAGGATTGGGGCCTTAAAGTTTTTGTTTTTTTCAAAAGGCACTTGACAGGATCGTTTTGTCTTCATGACATTTCAGCTGCAGAAACACAGGATGCTTATTGTGACAATTCTTTGGCTAGAAGACACAGAGCTCTCACTCTGTTTCTTGAATACTTTTGCCATGATCAATCTACAAGGATATTTAAGAACATCTAGTAGTATGGGATAGTTTTTTATTTTGATGATTCTTCTGAGGGTTATAAACATGCAATACCCTTTGAAATATCAAACATGAGACACTACATAAAACCATCTTTTAGATTCAGTAAAAATAAAATTAAGTTATGTTTTATTACTTATTGATGCACTTCCCTATTCCTGCTAAAGTCTACTGAATTGATGCCATAATACAAACAATTTCAACTGCAAAATTAATACAGAGGCTACAGCTATTGTACCTGTCAGGTAGGAGGCAAACTGTTTTGGCCCACAGCGAATTGCATAGCGGGTGGTGGTTTTCACTGCTTTTTGCTCAGTCTGTGAAGTATTCCTGGGATTAAACAGCGTACCATCTGATGTCTCCCCCCACCACCTCACCCGGATGAGAACAGAAGTAGGCGGTTTAGACACCATCCATAAGATTTTACTGACTGTTAACTTGAGAAAACAGCGCAACTGGCCTTCAACAAGAGGTGGTAAACTTGTAGAAGGGGAGATATCACTGATACCTGTGGAGATATAACACAGTATTATTTCCCAAAAATATAAATTCAAGTAGTATATTTGAGATGCAGATCACTTTACAAAGTTAAAAAAAATACTTGGAGTTTACCCTGCAGATATGTCTAACATTCTATGCTATACTTAGGGTTACCCTATAGATATTTAGAACATTATAGCCTACAACATTTGTGCATTGCAGATTCTTGGCATGACTGTAACACACCTGGTGTTCAAATACAAAATTTGTTGCAACAATTAACATTCACACCACCATTGAGACTATGATTGCTCTGCGCAAAGCCATGTATTTAGTGCCAATGAAGCTGGAAAGTGCTGCGGTTGCAACTGGACTGTTCAGTACTGCCCTGCAATGCCCCCCCACCATCCTTCAGTGAATGACCTCCCTGGATGATGGAATCACATCTTCCACATCCCTTCTGCATCTCCAGGGTGCCCACCATACCATGGAGTCTGTCTTGACCCAAGTGTGCCCTTAGGGTACCTGTTGCTCCAACAAAGGTACTCAATATTACCTAAGTGGCTTTAAGTAATCACCAAGACCCATACGGGGCTCCCAGCCCTCTGTTGTACCTCAAGGGCATGACACACCACATTATAATCCCCAAAGGCCACTATGCACCTACCGCACCAGTACAGGGTGCCCAAGGTACTGCCAACCCATTATCCAATCATGCTATGGAGGGTGCTACCACCCGCGCCTTCAGAGGCCCATCACAGGATCTGCTGCCTCTTATGAGCCCCACAGCACACCCTACTGCCACCAACCGCTCAGGGTATCTACCGGGTCCCCCACCCCTCCCAAGCCAGGGTATCTACCGTGTTCCCCGGATACCGCCTCCCTCCCCGCCCAGCCAGGGTATCTACCGTGTCCCCCGGGTACCGCCCCCCCCGGGCACCGCGCCCCCAGGGTATCTACCGTGTCCCCCGGGTACCGCCCCCCGCACCGCGCCAGGCGCTCCCCGGGACTCCCACCTCTCCTCTTGCGGGCGGCGCCGCCGCCTCCCACCCTGGGAGCGGGGCCCTTCAGCCTCTTCTGCTTCATCCCCCAGCCGCTCCCCCGCGCCAGGCCCGGCTCCCAGCCACCGCCGCTGCCCGGCAACCGCCGCCGCCTCAGCCCGCCGCGGGGCGCCCTGGGACACGGCGGGAGAATCACCCAGCCCCAGGAGAGCCGCGCTCAGCCCGGCGAGATGAACTACAATTCCCAGGGAGCGCTGCGGCCCCGCTTCCGGCGCGGGCCGATGGCGCGTGGACAGGCACTTCCGGCAGAGGCGGCGCTCCCCCGCCAGGGAGTCGTAGTGGGGGCGGACTCTATTTCCCGTGGTGCAGCGCGGCGCGGCAGGGGTACTTCCGGCGGGGGTGGGTGCAGTTGCTGCTGGCTCGGTTGGGGCGATACCTGCCCTTGTGTGTTGGCCTCTCCCCGTCATGTCGACCCTGGAGAAGCACCTGCACCTGGGCCGCCTGCCCCCCAGGCCCGCCGTGCCCGGCGGGGGCGGCCAGTCCGGCTCCAAGATGCGCATGGGGTAGGTGGGGGAGGGGCTGGGGGTGTGGGGGGAGCGGGGATTTTACCACGGGGACGTTGGGGATCGGCAGAGGAGGCCCGTTGCCGGGTGGGTGGGTGGATGGAGGGGGGTCGGCAGAGGAGGCGAGGGCGCCCGTGGGGGGGGGGGGGGGGGGGTCGGCAGAGGAGGCGAGGGGGCCCGTGGGTGGGTGCGTGGCGATTGGTAGAGGAGGAGATGGTGGTGGTAATAATATTTGAAATTATTAATATTGATATGGGAAACCACCAAACACTAATTTAACCATCAATTCCTTTATTAAATCCAAAGGCCAAATGGTATTTATACCATTGCTCCAAACATGCCTAAAAAGCCTAACTAATAAGCAAGTTACTACATCCGAACAGTAACAAAACATTTATAAAAAGCAACAGAGGGCCCTGTGGCACCTTTAAGATCTTGCGTCTGATGGAAGTGGGCATTCACCCACGAAAGCTTATGCTCCAATACTTCTGTTAGTCTTAAAGGAGCCACAGGACCCTCTGTTGCTTTTTACAGATTCAGACTAACACGGCTACCCCTCTGATACAAAACATTTATAAGCATTTGATCAAGATATTTACAAATGGGCTAAACCTAGGGGTGTTTAGACACATATTGGTTGGCTCCAAAGTGGTCAGGCAGGTCTTAGCAATGAACCCCTTTAAGAGTTTACTTTTTATACCCTTTAACAAACAAGTGATGTCATCACCAATTACTGACTCCAACTAAAAACCAATTGGAGACAGTTCACCCTTATTTCCAATCTTAATCCAGATAAGATTTACAGTCTCCTTTCTTCACAAGGCCTTTCCTTTCTTATCTTCACCACCACCAACCCCAGCACCCTCCCTCCCCCCACAGCAGAACAGAGGGAAGGTTTGGGCTTGTTTCTTTTAAGACACTTTTTATTTTGTTACTGTAGCTCTTTATTTTATTAGTTACTTTTGAAACCATACAACCTTCCCACACTACAAGTAATACTACTTATTATTTTTACAGCCTTCTTTAACTTGCTGGTTGAGGCCTTCTTTACCACACACACACACACTTAACCAAACTTAAGCTAGCTTTAATTCTTTAATTTTATACTTATTCTGCGGCTGGATTGGCAGAGGAGGCGTGGGTGCCGGTTGTGTGGTGGTGGTAAGGATTGGCAGAGGAGGTGAAGGTGCCCATTGCGGGGTGGGTGGGGATTGGCAGGAGAGGCAAGGATGCCTGTTGTGAGTGAGGGAACATTTGGGACATTGGCCTCAGGCATGGGATGGGATTTCTAACATGTTAATTTGAGATGTATTTCAGCAGATTGAATAGTTTCCATGGAGGGTTACTTGATGTTAATAATTTTGGTGTTTCTTGTGTGTTTTTGTTGGAAATTCAGTTTCGAACCAGGATGTTCACAAATGCTTATGAGATGTGTCTGGACCTAGCTTGTCAGACCATCTGTCTATCTATATGAAGAGAATTAGACTGCTGAATGCCTATTTACGGTAAAGAGCATCTCCTTAGCTTGGCATAGGCAGCTGACTCGACTCCTACTCAGAGAGATTCTATTAACTAATGGACATTGTCTAAGTGGGAGCTAGTGTTCCTTCTACCCAACTGACAATGATGACTTGAAATAGTCATAGTTTGAAACCGAGGCCTACCTGCTGCCATTTCCTTTAACTCACTTGTCTAATTGAATACACTCTCTTATTAAGATCCCTCGACATCCTTCTCTCATGAACAGAGCCTGGTGAAGATAAATATTTCAGGACATCTCTTCATTTTCAACTGAGTCTTCTCTGAAGCTGTGTTTATTTGTGAATGAAGAAATGCTCTTTTAACTGGGGCTAACTGCGTGCAAGTTTAGCTTAAATATTATTACCCAGCAGGAGTCTACATGAAGCTGGGCAGTAGATGAACTCTGTCAGGCGAGTAAGTCCTTGCTCCTGGGAAGTGACAATCTGCCATCTGGGACGGCACAACACAGCGCAAACAGGTAGTGAGTTTTATAAACAAGTCTAAGTGTATAATTTGAGAGCAAAGGCCTGGTCAGCGCTTAACATTTAGAGCAACCTGGCTAGGTCACTCCTGGTGTGTGAAATTCACCCCCTGAGCACTATGGCTAAGCTGACCTAATTCCTTGGGTAGATGCAGTTAGGTCAACAAAATAATTCTTCTGTCAACCTAGCTTCTGCTCCTTAAGGAGGTGGATTACCTACGTCAATGGAAAAACCTTCCATCGACACAGGAAGTGTCTACACTATGGAGATGCAGCTGTATTGCTGTAGTGTAGACGTGCCCTGAGAGAGAGATTGGCCAATGTTAATTATGAGGCTGTTCTGGGTGTAGCGGGAGGGATGAAAGAAAGGAAATGGCCAGGAAAGCAGCTTGGCAGGAGCATAGTCACGGGGGGTGATGATGGGCTGGAGTTAAGGACAGTTTTGAAGGTGAGGAGAAGAAGCTTGAACTTTTATATGGTAGAAAAGGAGGCGTCCAAGGTAAGGAGATGATTATAGCGGTCACAGAGAAACGTGGTCTTGGCAGTGGCGTTCTGGATGACCTGGAGGGGGAGAGATTATAGCTGTGCAGATTTGGAGAAGGGGAGGTTAACAGTAATCACACCAGTGCGCAGGCTGTATGTGGAGATGTTGTAAAGTAAAGCAGCAGAAGTTGGTCAGGACCCAGATATGAAGGGCCAGAGACAGGGTTTGGGCGCTGGGGAGGACGGTGTTGGTAACAGTGACCGAGACTAATGGAAAAGTAGAGGGCTTATGGAAAGGTAATATGTTTGGGTGCGCACGTTACTGGCTCAGGTTCACTTCCAAACCAAAGAGGGTGCATGTTGCCGCCATTTAGGTCAAGGATGAATTTAGTTGGAATTTGAAATGATGGCACAAAATCCAGGTAGAAGATGATGGTACAGAATGAAACAGAGTATGCGAAGTAGTGTTTTGTACTTCTCTACCATCTTTTCTCTAAAAAACTGGCAATGCTTTATGCAGGTGGAAAGTACCATTAGCCCAAGTTTTGCATATGCGGAAACCATAGCAGAGAGGAGTTACATGATTGGCCCATAGTCTTACAGTGAATTAGTGATAGTCATAAATATAACACAGAGGTCCTGACAACCCTGGATCTAACCATTTCTTAGTGATCATTCACAATAACTTCAGCTTCTGCACCCATATTTTTGAATGTAGCTAGTAGTCCCATGTTTAAGGTAACATTACAGTCTTTAAAAGCAGAAAGGTTAAAAGGATGTTAACAAGGGGAGTGCAAAGGATTTAATCCTACTTTGGCTGTAACTTGCAGCGATTCTTAATCTTGCAGCCTAGGTATTGTGATGATGGGCTGTTCAGAAGTACAGGTAGTTAGACTCTCTGCCCTTTTCATACACTAGTCAGGTGAACAGAAAGATCCTTCACCCTGATGTGCACTAGCTGTTTCTATTGAAACAACTTTTACTAGTCTCAAATAGTTTAACAGCATAACTGTTGAATGAAACTTGTTAGAAGGAGGTCTACTGCCACTCCTATCAAGTGCTGCCAAAGTCTTGTATATTTTTAGAAGCTTAAACTATGCTATAAAAATGTCCTCTCTGCTGAAGCTGGCATGTATCATTTGGGGGGGGGGGGGGGAAATGTTGCTAACTCAAGATTGTTAAATTTGGAGAAAAACAAACCACTGGTTTTTAGGAATGGACTTGCCACACTGAAAGAGATCAGTAGATCATCAAGAATGGCATCTAAATTGGGGCGGTGACTAATAGCTGATCCTTCAGAAGAAGGTAAAGCCTACTCCTGTAATACATTTGGGGCTGAATCCAGTGTGAGTTGAGGGCATAGGCACAATGCCCGAGGCCTGATTCTGTACTGTGCAATGCCATTTATTGGGTGAAATATCCTATCAGATGAGTACAGGAAATCAGCTTTACCCTGAAGCAGGAGATTAGATAATTTACAACATTTAATTTTGTAAGCTGCTCCTCTGTGATATTAACCAAATTCTTTTGGCCTCTGCAGGTGGAGGGAATGTTTAAGTGGATAGGTTGTTACTTCTTGAAAATTAGTATTTTTTGTATTTTTACCTCTGCAGAAACTTTTCACATAGTTCTAAATGGCTCTCTTTAACTTTCGACTTACTCCGTTCTATATAAATGAATGATATGCAATAAAACTTACTCTAGATCTTAATTACTTGGTTTTAAAAGTTTCAAATAAACATTAATAAGCTATACTCCTTGTTAATATTTTTTCATAATTCTTTTTAAAACTGAATTGCATTGAAGTGTTCAATGACATGGCTTTGTACCTAAAGCAAGGAATATCGGAGTTAAGAATTACCTTGTACTTTTCACAGAAGTAGAAATGAGAGAATGAAAAAATCTATAGTATGTTTTGTTTAGTTACTGTGGAGGTCTTGGGACATGGAGCAATATGTATTTGTATCAAATGTTCTACTGCAGTACAGAAGCACCGTGGAGTGAATTAAAAACTGCCACAACTTTACTAAACAAAAGTCTGAAAATGCAGTCCACCTATTAGAGACGTTTGTTGTATGTATCTGCTGTGAAATCTTTTTGACAAGAGGTTTTAATAAAATGAGTAGAACTGAGTGACTTATCAGAGGTGGATATCTGTCTGGAGAGTGCACCTGGCTTTGAGAGCTCTGTGTCTCCTAGCTAGTGGTTAGGATTGCTGGGTTCTATTCTCTGACATGCCACTGAGTTGTAAGACCCTTGAGCAAGTCCCTTAACCACCAATTTCCCCATGTGTAAAATAGAGCTGCTTACCTACCGTACTTCATAGGGATGTTCTGAGGATTAATGTTTATGACACTTAAACCCATTCCCCATCAACCTTTTATTTAGCTTAATTATGGTAATTTGTGTTTTAAAAAAACCCCACCCTAACATGCACACTTTGCAAAAAAGGATCTTTCAGCCTTATTTTATGTAAACCTTCCCATTTCTTGTCCATCATCTCTCTTGTATTTAA